TCATTTTGATTGTTGGGATCAAAATGGTTTCACTTTTGTCTTTTTTTTTTTTTTTTTGACGCGTGCACTGTTTGTTTTTGTGCATTTGATACCCTTTTTTTGTTTGTTTGTCTTGTGTGCTGGAATATTTTCTGAATGGGTGATGGATTTTAACTTTTTTTCATAATTATCTCAGTGGGGTCATGAGTGAAATCTGAGTGAAGGTGATGGATTAAGATGGTGATGATCAAGTTTATCTTTAAGACAGGTTTTGGTAGTTAGAAATACAGGATGGCTAATTGAAGTGGACAAGTTTGAGATGGTTTTGGCCAAAAAAACATGTAATTTTTATTATTTTTACTATTCCTGATGCACCACAACTTAAGAGATGATCGTTTTTGACTGACACTATTTATGATAGAAGACGAGCGCTTCTAATTGTGCCAAAACTATTAAACTATTTTAAAATGTATTTATTTCAGTTCGGTTGATGTATTTATCATGCTTCACGGTGTATCTGATTTATAAAGTCGTCTTGTAACTCTGCAGATGTAACATGAACGTTGCCTTTATCCTACAGATGTGGAGGGCAGAAAGCCTAAGAGCAGGAGCGGGGCGTCGCAGCAAAGCTGCTAAAACCCTGCCCCTCCTGCCTTCGTCCGGCTGCCGCCATGCTGCGAGCGCGTGGTGAGTGAGCGCTGCTGGAGCGGCAGGGGAAAAGCTTGGGAGGTTGTGTGGGGATGGTGGGTGGGTGGGTGGGGGGCAGGCTTGTCTCCATGGGAACCCTAAAGCGTGGTGTAACAGATGTCTTCCATCATGCTTTTCACTTGCTCCCTCCTGCTTCTCTCAGCTGTCACCTTAAAGCTCCCCTCCCCTCCCTCACACAGACCCTGATGGGACCAGGTCTGCATGGCATATGGTTCGTTTCTTACAACTGTGCCTGTTTTGTGCCGACCCCGAACAGAAGCAGCTCCAGCGGCACACAGTTTCCCCTCCATGATGTCTCGTGTGCCGTTTTTAATGAAAACTGCTGAGTCGTTTTGTGACTTATGGCCTCTTTGTTGTCACTGCTGCATGGCTTTTAGTGTAACGCTGAAATCCTTCCCTCTATGCATGTAGATCCAAGCTGGGGGGCTTTTTCTCCTTTTTGCTGCATCACTGTTTGTTTACCAGACTGAAACTTTTTATGAATTGTGCTTTAGTTCCATTTATTTCCAGGGTTTATTTTCTAACTTGTCTTCTTTCTCTTCTGATTTCTTTTTTCCCCCCTTTCTTTCTTTTGCACTTCTCTTTGCTTGCGTGGGACTCAGAGAGAAAGGTGGCCTTGGAGCTATGTGTCTAAAGCACTGTAGAGCTCATCTACCATCTACAGTGAGAAAAGATTGTATATCCCAGTTTCAACCTTTTTTATTAGGGAACCCGGGACCGTTCATTGGAGAAAAGTGGCTTCCTTCTCTGTTTCTTTTTCCTTGAATCAAGGATCTCTCCGTAAAATACTACAAAAAGTTTTTATTTCGTCCCCTGTAAAGACTGTTTTCAGGCAAATTGCACTGCCACTTGTGTTTTCGGTGTGGCAGATCGCTAAATGTGGACTAAGATTTAAGTGCCAATGTTCCCACAACCAATCCTAAACTGAACTGATGACCGTCTTCTACACAATTTTAACGTCAGATCTTTTTTTTTTTAAATTGTTTTATTTTTGCTCGATGCTGTGGTAGATTTTAGAAATGGGCAGAACGCACAAAGACAACACAAATCTGTCTGCACAAAAATCATCCTGGCTGCTGTTTCAGACAAGAATAGCAATCTGCATGGATCAATCATCCGTTTCCTTTATCCAATCAGAGAGGAGGGTGTCGGCGGCGTAAGAGCCAGGAAGCACTTGGACATAAAGCCATGACAGCTCGATGAGTGAAGTTTTTGGATCTAAAAGAGACTGACTGTGGCAACGTTTCAGGGCACCTATAAATCAGAATCTACTTTGGTTTATAAAGACTCAAACACCTTTTATGGTCTGCTTTATCATAAATACTTTATTAAACTCATTTATGACCCCAGTCCTGCTCTGGTGTAGAAAGTCCTGGCAGATATGCAGAGTTTGTTGTTCTTAGAGGGGCTAATGAGGTGCTGACTGGAGTAAAGGTGACCTGCAGCTAACAGAACATGTCCAGGTTTCTGTTGTGTTGAACATGTTGGTGATAATGGGACCCAATGTCTTTTTTTTCTCCTTTTCCACTTTTACATGTTCTTATGATGTAATTAAAATGATCAAGAATATTGTGTATGGTTATTTATTTTTAAAATTTACACATTACATGGATTTAAAAACAATAGTATTTCCAGTATAATTTCATGTTCTTTAAAAGCAGTTAATAGTTTGGCCAACCTACTCATCTAATTAAAAGCATAAAAAATCCCTTTAAGTATCAAAAGCTGGTTTTCTTTATAAACATGACTTGTTAGAAATAGATATTTAATATATTTTATATATAGACAAATGTAGCCTCAACCCACCAGAATTTTGTGCCTAAACATATAATTAATGTAAGATGGATATACCTAGAAAGAGGTGACAGATTTGTCTACAATTGTTTTTGTCATTAGTGTAGTTCTGTGTGACCTGGCACCACCTAGAGTTGAATATTGGTACTGCACACAGAATAAACAAATATAAAATAAAGGTTTACACATTTCAAAATTTACTGTTTGACTAATACTTTCATAAAATTGCTTTTTTCCAAAAGTATCAAAAAGTTGATTAAGGTCGTATTCAACCCTGGTAGTCTGATACACTCTGACTGGGGACCCAGAATTGCAAGATTTGCTTCCATTTTCAGTCTGTCAGGTGTTACACTCCTATTCTGACCAGAGGGGGCGCTGTTGCGGTTCTACAACAGAACCTGGCCAAACATGGGCACAAAGAACAGAATGTTAAGCAAAAAGTGTAGCCTTTGAACAGAGGCTGAAGACATACGCAAAAAATAAATAAATTAAACATGTTGATTGATATACATGGTCACAGAATGACAGCTGCTATATTGTGACTTCACTGTAGCTTGGTAAATAGAAAAAATATTTATTAAACTGTTTCTGCTGATTGTTTACATCCTCTAATATCAGAAAAATAACTTTTGATCACTGAAATGTTGAGTGTTGATTACATGGTCACAGAGACAGCTGCTATCATATATTGTGAGTAGCTTGGTAAGTAACAATATTTATATAAAAAACTTTTTGCTGATTTTTGATTTTTAAATTGTTTTTGCTGATGTAAACAATGAGTAGAAACTGTTTTTGAACAAATATTTCTACTATTCACCAAGTGAAGTCACAGTATATAATAACAGCTGTCATACTGTGACCCTGTAATAATTTAATAACACTCTTTCAGTGGGCAAAAACTTATTTTCTGATAGAGGATGTAAAGTAGCAGAAAAAACTTTTTTTAAATAAATGTAATGTATAACCACTCGGTGTTTCAAAATAAGTCTGTACTACAGTCAAAACTGGTCCGCTAAAATCTATAAAGCAATAAATTTTCAACTATCATAGGTTATTCCTCATTTTCAACACATTATCTGAATATTGTTTAAGAAAACATTGAAAAATTAAAATAAATGGACTGCATTATTTTTCCCTAATACCTCCAGCAAGAAGGTGTTTCCCAGTTTCTCACACACATCTCTGTGAACTTTGGATTTTCTCCCACAGACAAAAAAAAAAATGTCTTCAGGTCCAAGCCTCTCCTGCAATCTGATTAAATAAGAATGCACCCCTGTGTTGTTTAACACCTTATTGATTTTTTTAAATGAGGTGTTTATTTAAAAAATACAAAAGGGGAAAATAAAACTTTTACACTTTTAAAAACACCAAATTTATCCAAAATAACAAGAATAAACCACAAAATAAACCAAATTTCTTTCATTTTATTCGACAGCCAAGTGGATGAAATGACAAGTTTTGACCAGCAGGGGGCGTTGTGAGTACATGAAGCTTCAAGAAATGAAACTTTTTTTTTTTTTCTAACCAATTGGAATGAAAGCTTCAAGGCTGAATATAGAATAAAAGCATTCTGTAAGAAGCATAAATAGCACAAAGTAGCAGAAAAAAAGCAGAATTTTAGCTCAAATAGCAGAAAAAGCTAAAATTAGCAAAAAAAGTTGCTACAATTAGCACAAGAAAGTGAAAAAGAGCAGAACCAGAACTAAATGTGTAGGTTTTGTAAAGATTTAGAAACATTTTGAAGGGTTTTAAGGATGTTGAAAATAGCCCAATTCATTTCCAAAGGGAAAAACGTGGCTGAAATATCAAAAGTCATAGCAACCCTTAGCATAAATGAGCTGAACGTTTTGATTTATGAATTGTTGAAGTACCACAAAAATTGTGGGACGATGCCGAAAAATATACGGAAGAAAAAATGGTCTCAATAATGTGAATGCTATGAAACGTTCACAATATTAAACTAAAACTAAAAGATTTGATATATGTTTAAAAAATATTTAAAAGCACGTATTACAAGGTGAAAAATTAAACAATCTGCATTTTTTCCCCATATTGGTTAACCTATATGTCTTTAGTTTAAAACTTGTAACCAAAATTTGTGAACAATTACAACAAGCATGTGTTTACCTACAGAAACAGTGGCTTAAGAATATGTAAACAATGCTCACTTGGAAGAGTTTGGGATGGAAATGTCTGGCAGGTTCCTATTTATACTAGATTTGTTAAGTAAAGTTTGCAGAAAAATGATTTGATTAATGGTATAAAGACCCAGCCTACCTCTTCTGTTGCAGCCTAGACCCCTGGACAAATATTTCCTTTTATTTCGATTTTCACACTAGGTTTCTATTAGGAATCACCTTTAAGGCCCTCACAGCAGTTCTGATACCAAATTCTTGAGGCAGACACACAAAAAATGTAAATAAAGTCACATCTGTTTAGACAGATATACCGTAAAAAGGACATCAATATCCAGATGCTATCTTTATGAAATACTTATTCAAGTAATTCAAAGAACCATCCCGTTTTCAATACAAGGTTTTTATTAACTATGATCATGCAAAAACCCAGCATCCATTTCATCTTAACATGTTGCCCCTTCTTATTGTCAGGTTACATTGCAATACATTTACTTTCAGAGGGACACAATCAAGCTGAGGCTTCTGCTAATCCTTTGTTGCATTTTTAATGCAGAATAACACAACACCACTTTATTTCATCTCAGACAACCATTTCATAACCTCGAAGATGCAAGTAACAGCAATTTCTATTTTCATTATCAACAGTGAAAAATGAGCAGAAAGACATGCATATTTCTTCCATTTATAAAACTGCATATATAGTGTCGCTGTAAGATTTGTGTAACTTTTTTTATATTCTAGGTTTAAGCATTTGATCCTCGTTTCCATTTAGTTTTACATCAAGCATGTTAGACATTTGCCAAAGTATTTGAACAATAAAATCTTGATTTGTCGGCAAATTTCAGTAACTGTGAACAACCCGATGCACAACTTTTCATTCATCACCTAAAATAACGCTGAACTTTGACTCACAGAATAACAATTAAGTTTTGATCCCTGTTTATTATCTGGATCTGGACTTTGAAAACTCAAGTGTTAACCTTTTGAGATAAAAACTGTGCTAATGTTACCTTAGGCCATTTTTTAAATACATCTCAAATAGTGGAAAACCTGGTTTAGAGAATAATCGCTTAATGGAGGAACAGCTTCTGTACCTAAAATAAATTATTTAAAACCAGATATAATAAAAGAGAAATGTGTTACTTTATTTGACCCAGATGATTCTAAAATAAATACATTTTCCTTGTTAAAAAAAAGGAAACAAAATAAATTCTGGTGCAACATTAAACAACGTTTTCGGTCCCCAAAATCAAGACATGTAAAAATAACCAACTCATCAAGAACCAAAATGTCAGTTGTGAAACTTTGACTTTACTATTTAAAAACAATTGTAAATATATTACCTGCCCAAATACTTTGACAAATTCCCTCCCCAGATCAATTCAGGCAGATTTACTACAAAGCAAGTTCAACACAGCCAGACTTGTTTGAGCTCATGAGGTTTTATGAACTTTATAGTTTTTCTCTTCAGGATCTGTTCGGTCCGAATAAAATGTGACTTTTTTTTTGTTTCAGGATTCAAATATTAATTTTCAGTCAGCCTGATTAAACTGGTTTTTCATGTAGGATTTTCATTTCCAGACACACACATGCTACTTAATATAATAAGGTTAAAATCTTTTTATTTAAAGATATCAGAAATGATTTGGGATATGGCAGTGCTTGTTTCATAGAGTTCATCCAAAATTCTGACCAACTTGTGCATTAAAGTTAAAGTTACCACTCAGACTTTACTTTTCATCATTCGTGTGGTAATTTTGCTCTGTAGTACACCCCGCAACAGATTAAAATTGCAACAGCCTCGCTTTTTATCCCTTTAACGTGCCCATGGCGGTGTGGAAATGCACGCACGCACACACAATCACACACACACACAATATAAATATTACTGAACCAAAAAAAAAAAATTAAATAAAAGCACATTTTGTCAGACTGGTGGCATAATCACAACCAGCACAAACAACACAGTTTCAGATTTTACAAAGCGTTGTCGTGGTGCAAACGGTGAACGGGGCGGGGCACAGTTTTCATGGCAGGTTGGATATGTCGCTCAGAGAAGCACGGGCAGCTCACGCAGAAAGACAAGGTGTGGTTCACAACGCTTTCTTTAAAGTCTGTCAGAAACACACGCGTGATGTGTCGGGGCGGTTCCTGCAACAGCGCACACAGTAAAAATGGAGCAGCCTGGTGCGAACGGGACACAGCGAGCATCGCCTGCTGGTACAAAGTCAAAAACAGTGAAACGACAGTGAGGCAAAGTTCAACCACTGACACGGACATGTTTTTTTTTTCTTTCTGTCCTTTTGAAAAGAGATTCGTTGATCTCGTGTGCTTCAAAGCAGGAGATTCAGCAATGTGTGCGGAACATTTGGTTCATCGCCTTACATTTATGTGACAAACAGCAAACATATTGACATCAAAACATTTAAAACTACAACATCGTGAAAAAAATGTGATTTAAAAAATTAATAATAACCAAATCTACTTATTAGGATCAGCAAAAGTCTTATAGCCCTCAAGCGGGGAGAGAGTAGCCCCCCATCCATTAAACCTTTGTTTCCTTGTTTAGTCTCTCAGCTGCATCCTCGTTCACCATGCCCGGATTTCACACACAATTACAGCAAGCCAAGATGGACGATATACAAATTTAAAGATCGCTTATCAGAAGGAGACGCCGATGCATGGCTGACACGTGTCTCGACTTCATGCCATACGGCGTCGAAGACAGACGGGTTGGTGAGGCTTGCGGTCGACAAGGACAGAACACCAGACAGGAATGATAGAAAAGGAAATTTTGGCAAAGCGTAACCTGAAGTTGCAGAAAGGTTCACTCCTTCAGAAGAGCAAACGCAACAGCATCGAGTCATCAGTGTGCAAAGGAACGACCACGAAAAGAAAACAGTACAAGCCATTCTATAGATTATTAAATCATGCTACACATTGGAACACACAGATAGACGATAAGGAGTTCATGCTTACAGCTCAGTTTGGAAACACGAGGAGCTTCAGACTTTTTTACACAACAGTGCCGACTTGTGTTTGAAACTAAAACACTACAGGATCAAGTCCTTCTGCAACTTCAGGATGAGCTGGCCTGTTCGTTGTGTCTAAAGCACGAGACTCGACCTCAAAAGGTGAAGCACGGCGACTGTGAGTGTGTGTCTGTGTGCATGCATGTGTGTATTTACACCTATCGACCTCACAGCACATGGGGAAAACAAACCAACAAAACCAATCACTCTCCAGGTGAAATTCCCCTTTTTTTAAAGCCAGAAAGCAAAACAAGTTTTCCCCTTTTTACCCTCCTCTGCATAAATATCTATTTATAGACTGTTTAAATAAAGCCCCCTTTATTTAAAAATTATGTCAACACAAACTATTTTAATATAATCTCTCAAACAGGACATAAAGCATTTATTAAAATATTACCAAAACAAAAAACAAAACAGGTCCCTTCAGTAACGCAACACCTTAAACACTGTGCAGATACTCAAACCTGACTTGTAAAATTAGTGGTAAAGTGTAATATTTGTTGTTCTCATTCCCATTAACCCCACCAGCACAATAATAAACCTGTTAACGACAAAAACAACAACAACAAAAAAAAAACCGATACTAACAAACGTTCAGAGGACACGTTTCTAGATACACTTGCTGCCCGAGTCATTCTCACTGTGTGTGAAGTGTACTTGTTTTTCAGTAATTATATATCTATTTATATTCTTTGAAACATTAATACTTTTCCACATGGCAGATCAGACAGATTTGGGTTGGGTTGGGTTGGGTTGGGGGGGCATTCAGGACAGCATCATCCCCGTGTGACCATCAGAAACATGCACCATCTTCAGGAGGGGGCTGACATCATCTGCACCCCAACATCAGCTAGTTAAGGGTTGGACTGGATTGGTGTTGGTCGGTCATTCATTCCAGCTTTTTTTTTTTTTACTTTTTTTAATAGGTTTTATTAATTTTTTTCTAAATATTGAAATATATTTCCCCACTTTTGTGTTGTCCTAGCATCCTCGTCCCAGCCAGGGATCCAGACTTCGCTCCGACCACGGAGAGAAAATGCTCCTAATAGTTTTAGAGTTCAGGCAAACCTGGAGAAGAGAGGGGAAAAAAAAGCTCTGAATGATTTCAGTTTATCCAAAATGTATATATAAAAACAGGAAAACATCAGAAACTAGTTTTATATCCATTACTTGAGTTTTCAGTTTTACACTGGATGCATTCCTACACAACCTGGGCTTGAACCTGCAGCCTCAGAATTACAAGACTGCACTGACCTGAGCTACCGCTGCTCCATAACACAAAGAAAAGCAAGTATTTGATTTCTCGATCATTAAAGTCACATAAATACACACAGCACAGCCTTCCCTTGGCATGCAGTGATAAAAGTTACGATTGACACAATTTATTGAGTTGTCAGCAGAAGCCTTTAGACATGTACCCCAAAGCAGGCAGCTATCTGAACCCCAATTATGTATGCTACATACACAAATTATCCTATTTCTAATAGCAACATTTACATAAACGTAGGGTTGGGTACCGAAACTCGGTCCCGGTTTGGCGCCGGGGTGAACATCGATGAGGTAAACAGACCAAAACACAAAATTAACTTCAGTGCATCAAAGAAAGCTGTTAACTTGTGCCCTCTGGTGTTCACTGTTAACAGTGACAGCCTCGACGCACAATCTCCACAGACGCTCCTGTACGTGGTTCGACTTGGCTCGGTCTCGGCCCAATGCGTCTCTCCAAGCGCGCTCCACAGCCGCGCTGTCTCAGAACCTCGGACCTCCTCTCCGGTGGTTCTAAGTGGGTAGAAGCGAGTAGCTTATGATTTTGACGTCAGCAGAACGTCTGTGGATTAATTCTTGGATTGACTGACAGCAAATTTCCTCCTGGAGAGAGCTGCTTTTGTTTAGGAATATGAGAGCGCGGCGCAATACGACGACATGGTGAAATAAAACTGCTGTTTTGGTGATCTTGAGAAAGACAGAACTTGTAAACACTTCCTGGAGAGAGGTGAAGGAGACGAAGCTGAGCAGATCACAGGAGGTTTTCAACAAACTGACCGTCCACGGTTACACAAGCACTTAGCTAAACAGCACCGTGATAATAAATAAATAAATAAAGTTCGAACGGTTAGACCACAAAAGGCTTTTTTAAATTTAATTTTATTATTATTATTATTTTTAACACAAAAGTTGAAGTCGCTGCAGACAGTCTGCACATTATCACACCCACAGAGTGAGGGACACACTGCGTGGAGACACACGGACACTGAGCAGAACCGACCTGACCCAAAGTGAATCGAGTAGAACAGAGTTCATGGAGAGGGGCTAACAGGTGCTGCTGCAGTTAACAGTTATGTATTATATATTATAGTCGAGATGTCGAAAGAAAAACGGTCCAAAGTGTGGTGTCACTTTACAAAATAAGACGCAGAAACTTCCACCTACAACAAATGCTTTAAGAATATTTGGTGCAAAGACAAATGGTTTTAAGTTGATATGTTGGTCAATTTCAAGTTTGACTTTGCCTCAGAAATAGTCATTTCTTCATAAACCTCTGTGAGAGTGCGTATGTTTTTTAAAATTTTTAAAGTACCGATTTAAATACCGTTTAGGAACCGGCACCATTTTGAAAGTATCAATTTAAACCCCTTCAATACCCAACCCTACATAAAGGATGAGTAGCCCAACAATCAGACTGAAGCTTCATATTGTAAAAAGAAAAGAAAATATATTTTTTTAATATTGTAGCTTTTTCAAAGAATTAAAAAGACAAACAGTAGAATTGTCCAACAACAGCCCCCAAGCTGTCCTCAGACACGCTCGGTCCTTACCTGAGCCTGGGCCGTCTGTTCACTGCAGCGGTGCAGCTGGAGCGCCTGAACAGTGGAAGTGCACGTTGAGCCACTTGGCGTCGCGGCGATGCCACACGCGCGTCTCCTCCGACTGGCAGGAGCGCGGCCGCCCTTGGCCGTCGATGTACTGCGTCAGGCGGATGTAGGCGATGCAGGCGGCCTCCTCGCCAATCAGATGGACATGCGGGTTGAGGATGGTGGTGTGCACTGGTTTGCTGTTTTTACTCAGAACTATGGAGACAAAAAGGAGGGAATCTGATACTCTAAATGCTATATGGCATTTTTAAACAAGGGTAAACTAAAATGTTTAACCTGTTAAACTGACTCAAACTGATTGCATATAAACTTGTAGATTACTGAACTGTGCTCCTTTAATAGTCAGTTTTTTATCCTGAACTGACAGGAATCAGCTAAAGCGCCTGTAGATTTAATATGATTAAGTTCAACTAGACAGTAAGCTTGTTATTCAGTCCTCAAAATACAAGAACCTACGATTCTCAAAGTAGAACTTGTGAAAGTCCATGCCCTCCACCAGATTTCCGAGGGCCTCTGGCTCAAAAGAAGTCAGTCCAGGGTCACAGATTCTCCTGTAAAAATAAAAAACAGCATTAAATATTCCTGCAGCAGTAAAATGAGCCTAAAGAGCTTCAAAATGTGTGCATTTCATAGGAAAATAATTCATTTTCTTATTGTTAGGCAGCTCTATTTTACCCAAAAAGCACCCACAAAGAAAATAAATCTATAAATGCAAACTAACGTGTACGCCTCAAAATCCCCGTTGTTGATGGCTTCAATCAGCTGCTCCGTCATCTTTACGATCTCTTGTTTACGAGCTGAAAAGGAGGGAAAATTACAAAAAGAAACAGGTTGTTACAAAAAGGCAGGAAGCATCTGGAGGTCAAACATGCACATCCCAAACCACGTGCTCCACCTCAACTCTGCCTGACATTTTAATGAGGGATGACATTTGAAGACCCCCAGTCCCAAACATGCCACACCCAGTGCCATTCACGTGTTGCTAAATCTGTCACTCATCTAAAAAACTGCAAATTATAAATTGTAGAAATCCAAGATAAAACTACAAACCAAACTTTATGGATGTCCATGCAGACACTAAAGAAAAAACAGCTTTCAAACCTCAAAATCTGCATGAAGCTGAGTCCATAAAGTGCCAACAAACCACTTCAAATCCACCTAAGAAGCCTTTCCTTGAGTTCTACACAAACTACCACTCACTTCTCAGTTGCAGGTTACTGTTGCCTGCTCGGGGTGACTGAGCAGACCCTGGTCCAGGACTGCACGTCTGAGCTGGACTGGTCTGGGCTACAGGGTCAGCGAAGCTGCTAAACTCCTGCAGAGGACCAGCTGCAGCCAAGTAAAGTCATTCCAGAACAAATCTATTATAAGCACGGCCTCTCAAGCTTTTATTGGTAATTAGATGATGATGCATCAAGTGTGTGATGAGAGCGATTAAAAAGAATAACTGGAACAAAGACTCTGGGTTACAGAAGGAAGAAGAAAGCTGCAGTCAGGTCAGGGTGCCAGCAGATGGCAGTACAAGAAACCAAATTTCACTTTCATCAAAATAAAAACTTGGAACTCTTCTTTTTGTGCTGCCTTTCAACAACAGAAGCATCACAGATGAGTCGAAGAAGAAAAATCAAGACAAAAAAGGCCGAGCGCTGAATAAAACCTGCTGACTTACAGGTGAGTGAAGGACAGTCAGGAGACGACGTGTAGGCCTGTTCCTCTGCAGTGCTGCACTTTTCTAACCCTGAACTCTCTTTAGCAGCAGGCTCTACAGCAGCTGCTATCATCACAAGACAAATACACACAGATGCTCACTGACAGGGAACCTGAAGACAACAGTCAGACAGCTTGGCTTACCAAAATAGGACAATGGGCTGCACATTTTATTGTATATTACTATAACATTATGTGTACAGTTTTTACATCGCAGACAGGTGGCTGCAATAATTCATTTGCTATTTGATTCTAAATGCCATGCATGCCAAAAATAGTGTTTGGCAACAAAACCCTTAAAGGTACGTAACTATTTTGACAAAAAGTGGAATTTGAAGGTTTGGCAAATTTTACATGTGCCAAACCCACATACTCAGCTCTACAGCTCAGCCCACAAATGCATGTTTCTTACAAATATGGCACTATTTACACAATAAATTTACAGGCTTTCTAACTGTAGACTTATTACAACAAAGAAATAATCAACCAAACACAATTCCTTACTTTTTGTGCCAAATATATAAAAAGTTCATGTGGTATAATTTCATAGCAAGATTTTAAGACACCCAGTGACACTTTTAGTACGTGAATGAACTCTAACTTAATTATGAGCTCTTAAGAAAACATAGTTCCTCTGACTTCCTGTGTAGTGACAAGACTTTAGTTTGACATCAGTTTGTACTGAAGATGCAAGTAGAGGCAACAACACAATGTATTAACAAGACTGTTTAAAAGCAACATTTATCTTTCCTGTGAAGCTCTTCTGAATACAAAATCTCCCAGAAATCCAAACTCTCACCCTGTTCTCTTTCTAGTGGAATAAAACTTGACAGTTGCCTAAAACAAAGCAGGCATGCATTAGTTCAATCTAAAGAAAAAAAATACAGTTTCATCATTTCTTCCTGTCTGATCTGGACGTGAAAAAGTGATCCATAAAAGGCATGCAGAGTAGGTGAAAGTTGGACAGCTACCTTTCCTACCTTTCATCTCCTCCTCTTCTGCATTATTGCAGCTCTCTGTGGAGCCCTGTCACCCAGAAAAGGTTCAGACAAAAACACATACACACACAAAAAAAAGGGAGGTGAGAGTGAGAGGAAAGACAAATACAGAGAGAAAGAACAAGTAAATTCTGGTACATTTTTGACCGGAACGTAGCTGACAGGTCGGGACACGTTGCCTATAAAGACAGAGTCAACCTGGTGGACGGGTGAACAGGTAGGACAGACTCCCTCCCAGGAGCACAAACCAGCCAGGACAGCAGCAAGGAAAGGCACAGAGCGCCACACACAAAGCAACAACGTGTGAGAGCCATTTTCAGTCACTAATATTGCGTTAGTGTGAAACTGCTCTTGCCCAGGTGACATGTGAATAGTGTCCATATAAAAATATATATTGTAATAGTGGAAACTTGCAAGCTTGTAAACCAAAGTAATAGTGCAAGCAGCATGGAGGTTAAAAACCAAACAGGTGTAGGAATAGTGAACAGTCATCCCTGTGCATGTGGTGCTTGTTCAAAGAGATTTGTGAAGGATTTTCTATTTTATCAAAATGTGAGATTTGATGTGATTTAAAATCAAATAACAAAAGCAGAATGGTGTGCAGGGAGGCCTTTTGTGTCCAGAAAACAACCAAATTTGTCAAACTAAGTGCTAAGGTTTTAGGAAAATTTGGACTTAAAGAGTATTATTTTACAGAGGGGTTGTGTAGAATAGTTATGACCAGTCAGTATCCTACCTGCGGTAGACAGAGCGATTAATGAAGATGGTAAACAACTACCCCACTTCAAAATAACAAACCATTTCTTTAATTAGTATTAATAATTTATAATTACCAACATTTTAACATTTTAGGACTGAGTTGGAAACTTCATTTGTTCTCTGGATAAGTTGAAGAAAACTTTTACTTAAGAATTTTTTCAATCAAAGTTGTGCGGAGATGCGTTTAGAGAAAATCCTTGCAGGTGTTAGTAGTAGCTGCTAGCGGCTTGAGGTTGGAGAAAAAGCGGCTTACCTTGGTGCCGTCTGCTGGGTTGTGTACAACTGTTGTCTGGGCTTCCTGGGGGGAGGTAGGAGACACTTTACCATGCAGGGATGGGATGGGGGGGGGGTACTAACACACAGTACCAGTATTTTCCACATTAACATACAGAACCACCTCATTTTTCACAAACAAAGCACGACAGCTACAGCACAGAGGTGGAGTTTTTACATCAGATAATGAAGGTGCAGTTTGTTCCCCATTTGTTGGCACTGTAGCCAACAGGATGATTTCAGTTTCCAAAATGCACAAAATCAGCCAAGAACACAGCTAAATACAAAACCACCGGCCAAGGCCACGACTGAGGAGGAGGGTTCTGTAGTACCTGTGTGTAGTGAAGTTAGTTCATGTCTCCGTAAAACTTGACAGTTCCAATACAAAATTCAGCAGTCAGAACATTTTGATTTCTTGTTTTAAAGTTTTACTTGTTACAGCACAGTTGCTGCGTTTTGGCACCTCATCCCCAGTTTTGACCCTGACACAGAAACACCCAACACAAAGCAGTTCCATCAGCTCTGAGTACGACAAAAGTTGGGAAACAAGAACCACAGTTTAGTTTCGATTAGCACTGGAACCAAACTCAAGAACATGCAGCCCCTTTAATAAATAAATGACAGAACTATAGGTGTTTTGTTAGAATTATGTCTTTACTACAAAAAGCTGACAGATGACGAGTGTGTATTCATATCAAAAAGGCTCTTTCCAGAAGCACTTCAAATGTGATAAGTTAGTCTGTTTTTTAATTTTTGTAACAAACTTGGCAAACCCCAAATTGATCGTACCTCAAATGTTTGTACAGATATTAAGCTAAAATCTGGTGTGGTAGTAGCTGAGGATCATTTCCAACACATACTCAAATGATTGCACTACATATGCTGTGTTTCCTTAAAACCTTAACATGTAAAGCAGCAGAATGCTTCCAGGAATGCTACTGTCATAAATCTTTTCAGAATAAATGACAGCTTCAATATGCTCCTTAGGACATGTCATTATAGGGATTGTGGGTCTTCTTGCCCATTAAATTGTAGATATGCAGGTAATTTCACAGCTGGTATTTTGTGTCACACTGCAGATTCTGTCGTGTTTTTATGTTTAAAATATATTTTAAGTAGTAACTAGTACCAAAAGATTTTACTGTTAAGTTGGCTTTAATTAACATGTTTCAACTTTTCCAAAAGTCTTGTTGAAACTTCACTGCATTTCAGTTAGGATGTATTTTATTCATATGAACACAGGGGCTGCATCCTCCTACACAATTACATTTTGTTGGTTTTCTTCTTCAGCTCTTGTTGTACCCAGAAGTCCTCATAGGGAATTTGTAAAAGGCAAAGTTTTTGATGAAACCAAAGTTCTACAGTTTATTTTCACTCTACCGCAATAACCTTTTCCTGCTTTAAAGGCCAAACTGTCAACGCTCAGATGACACTCTGGAACAAGTAAAGGTGTCATCAGGGTGAAGCTGAGCAGAACTTGAGTGAAGTGTTTGCCGTTTCACCACAAAATGAAAGCAATTTGTCTACCTGCCAGGTGTTGCGTGTTTGCAGGAGTTCTGGGTAAAACACGATCCAAGAGAGACGCACGACGAGTCACAGAGCAGTTGTTCAATTTTAAAGCTGTCAAAATCACTGCCAACATCACACGTTTGTTTACAAAACAGAAGCAAAGAGGATGAGGAAGACGAACGGGACAGAGAAGGTTTTCGTTTAACATGGGGATGGGACTAAAGCACAAAATAAAAAGATGGAAAACGTGAAACGACGCCACAAAAAGCAATGAGGGTGAAAGCAAACGGATGTGGTACCATTGGTGCTGAAGATGACATGCTGCTGTCTTTGGTGCTGCTGCTGCTTACTACACTGTTTTTACTGTTGTTTCCCTGCGACCGGGGCAAAGAAACACAACACAGAGTGACTTCCCCCTAGAAAGAATTCTCTAAACAAGAATCGCAGCGGGAAAACAGGAACAGAGCTGTTATGTGGTCGATGTGAATTACACCTGTACTGTTGGTTTGCAGGACTCATGCTGCAATAAACTGGAGTTACAAAGTACAGAAGCTCAACCCATATCTGAATATTTGTTTTCGATAACATTTTTTTAAAGGGCAGCTTATATTTCTATAATGCTTAAATATATTCAGGTCAGTACCTAATGAGTCCCCTTTTACAATTATCAGGGTTTTCTTGTTTCGTTGACAAAACTTGATATTATGCTGTGTTTTAATTTGTCAAGACGACATCATAATATTAAAAATACAGTAGATAGAAAAGACATTTTCTAACTAATTTTAAAGGGGCTTTTTTTGAGCACAATTTGACATATAACAGCAGTTGTTGCTTTAAAATGAGAATTGTAAACAAAGTTTAAAAACTACCAGTCCAGGTCTGTGCATGCAGTGAAAGGCCTTGATGGAGAGATGTGTGTAGGAATGCATTTAAAAAAACTAATCCTGTAGACTGCTAAACTAATAAAATGTGTTGCATAAGATGTAAACTTGAAAAAATTAGCTCAACATTGCACTCTTCAAAATCCTGTCTGACTGTAGTTTTATGTTTTTTACTAATTAGGAAGCTGTTTGGAGGATGCCTGAATTTTACATTAGATTGTGCTAAAGCTGCAAACTATAGTTGGGATTAGGGCTGTGAATTGGCAAGAATTTGGCGATACGATACATATCATAACAGAGGGGTCACGATACGATATATCCCGATACATTGCGATACTGTAAGCAAGGCAATATATTGCGATTTTTTTTGTCCAAAAATCTATTAAATAAAAACCTCTTACTGACAAAAAAATAAGAAAAGCTAATGTTTACTTACAATGCTAATGCTACCCTTTCTCTCTGGCGCTCAAGAGGTAGAGGAGCCAAATGGCTGGCTCACTGCTGCCAACTACTGGTCAGAGGCTGAACTACAACATAAAAATGAACGGTTGGCAAGAAGGTTTACATTTTAAACCTTAATTAAAAATTGATTCAGGGCTTTAGAATATCGATACAGTATCGGGAAATAAAATATCGCGATATTTCAGTGTATCGATATTTTCTTACATCCCTATTTAGGATGTTTGGTGTGAAAAAGAAAACACTTTGAGTTGGACTCTTCCTTCAACCTCGAGTTAACTGGATAAAAAAAGAGAATGAAGATATTCCCACAGGAAACCAACAAGAGAGGATTGACGGATTACGTCAATAAAAAAGTTCAAAGTACACTGAGCGCTTTCAGCTGCTTCACTACAGTTTTGAAATGACAGACGCAGCTTTTAAATGTTAAAACTTCATAAAATTTGTGTGTTTTCCCAAATCAATATTCAGTCAGTTTTTTAAAGGCTCTTGAAATTTAGGGTTTTATCATCTGAACAGGACAGGACAGCACCATACAAATGTGAGAAGAAACCCTGTTTACACACTCGTGTATTAGGACACATTCAGAAGACCAAGATGATTTTTTTCCACAGGATGACAATAAAAGAAATAAAAACAAATGATGACACAGAGATTATGTGTTAATTTGCAAAAAAAAAAAAAAAAAGGAAGCATGATTTGCAGTGATCAGAATGTTTTTCACTTCAGGGATGATTATATATGACATGAAAAGACGATGTCGTCCAAGATGGCTTTAGTAAGAGAGTAACAAGAGCGATGTTTGTTTTTCATCAGCAGCTAACATGGTTTTAATGGAGATCATGGTAGAGGGAGGGGCAAGGATGCTGCTTGGATAGAATCAAACAGAACACACAAATAAAATACTCTGAAACGCTTTATCTAAGATAAAAAAAAAAACAAATTAAAAACAAACAAAAAAACTAGTCAGGAGAAAACATAAAATAAATAAAAATAAACGACAGAGCCGATCTCACCATCAAACACACACTTGAGCTGGACTTCCTTTTCTGACAGACAGCAATGGAGAGGAGGAGGAGGAGGGGAAAAAATAAGGAGTCATCTGGAAACAAGAAGCTAATCAGAACAGCAAAAACCTGAAGCTGCCAGGTTGATCCCAGAAAGGAAATAAAATTAAAAATGAACAAGCTTAAACCAGAGCAAAGATGAGACAAAGAAATACTAAAACTGCAGAAGGTAAAGAGGATCAGCTGAAAAAAATATACAGAAAGGTCATTTTTTATGACAATTGTAAAATGTTTGAGTTGAAGGGGGAGGAGTTTAGTTTTTGTGTTAAGCAACTATAAATAATGGAAATCTGCATTTGGCTCCAGATGATCATGGCACTTCACCACATGCACTGACTCTGGTCCTTGGTCAAAATAAACACTTTTAAAGTGATTTATTATGTTTGTTTATTTCAAATCTGTAACTTTCAGGTGGAAGCCCATCTTTTAGTTCAGTTCTCTAGCTAAAGCCCAAAACACTTACAAATATTTAAACTACAGAAATAGTTTAAAAAATGCACAGGGAGGGTAAAAAATCTAAACACTTCTTTTATATGCTCATAATGTCACAAATAAAAACATTCTTGGAGAAAGACTAGGGTGTCAAACAAAAGACAAACAGAAGACAAGAAAACAAAAATTACCTTTAACGGGTCAGAAAACTTACCTTCACACCGTCCGACTTTTTGTTTAGTAAGGTTTTACACGCTGAAAGAAAAGTAGGACAAGATGGTGTGAAGGCGGTGTGAGAAACAAACACAGAAATGGAGCTGGGATTGCTCAGTCAGCAGGACAAACTACAGCCAATCCAAACATTGACTTTATATTTCCAACAACAGGTATGAAGAATAATTAAAACAAGAAGCATATCACCACAAAGGGAAATCAAAATATAAAGTATTAGTAAGTGACTTT